TATGGATCCGCATACGCAATGACGACATAAGGAAGAGATTCGGTGTAGCTCCTGTGGCCGAGAAAATGCGCGAAGCTCGCCTTCGATGGTCATGTGCTTCGCGCGAATTGTGACACCGTCCGTAGGATTGGTCTTGAGCTCGAGGTTCCCGGAAAGCGGCCTAAAGGACGCCCCAAGCAGCGCTGGTCAGACACGTTGCATGCGGACTTGAAGGTGGTTGGCACCCATCCCGATCAAGCATTCAATCGGGAGAAGTGGCGTGACAAAATAAGACGAGCGGACCCTGCTGCAGAGCGGGACAAACGCTGAAGAATAAGAAGAAGAAGATTATATACAATAATAATGTAGGCCGTATATTATATACAGCAATAATAATATAAGTTGTATGAGTTCGCAACGGTTGCTATCCAAACCATGCCGAGGTCGCCTCTTTGAAAAAAAAACTCGCGCGCGCTTGTTTAAACCCTTTTCATTGAGGGCTCCATTTTATTACAACAGTTCGGAGGTGTGAGCATCGTTACAACGATTAAAACTAACAAGTTATCGAGTAGCAGTTAAGGAAGTCCGTTCAACTAATTCTTACTGGTTTCACAAAGTCCTGAAACAAATTTGGATCTACTAATAAGGTAGAACTCAACTTAGCGAACTTTGTACTAACCATAAGGATGCCCTACTTGGATCGTGAGTCGCACTATTCCTTCCCTGAGCTCCTCTAGGCCCAAGACCATTACTAGATGACCCTACTAGTATAGTACTGCTGAGAGGCCGTATGAGCCCTCTGAACCACCTCGGGAGAGCGCCCCAATGAAAAGAGATTCAAACAGGAGATTCGAAAGCTTCCACCCTTCCTGTACTTGACGGGCATAGTTTTCTTCCCGAATGGGAATGCTCCTTCATTAGCGTTCTCGAAGAATCCACGAGATCAATTTCAATATGAAACCACAAATCAAGATTGCGTTTAATAGACCACTGGAAACAATGGCTAAACGATGGTAAAAACGCCTCATCGCGGTAGCTAGCGCTAAGCAGCTTTGAAAAACAACACTAGTTATACAGTTAAAACCATGAGAAAAATAGGATCACCTCAGTCACGAGGTGAAATTCATTTTTATGTATGTATATGTTGTTGCATTGCCCATACTGAAAATGAGTGCGCGTTCGGAGAGCGGAGAACATAGTGATAGAGACAGGGCCACTAAGATAGTGGATAACATGTCGTTCTTACGGTGGGACAGATTCAGCCACCCTTCAATCTAGAGATTTCCTACATTTCGAAATTTAGACTGAGAAAGTATTTTGTTGAACGCGGATTCAAGAATGTTGAAAAAATTAATGTGGTCACCCCTATGACCTTGATTAATACACAATTCAGCCTGAAAATAGCTTTATGAATAGCAGGGCAAATGATTGCAATTGATAATCATCAGTCTTAGCTTGAGATTCTCCGAAATGTCAAAGTGCAAAGCCAGAGGCTGGATGTACGGACGACCCTTCCCCCAAATTTGCGCCAGCCAACTCTGCGTCTCTACCGCTTCGGGGATCCCCTCGAGTATAGCATACGGCCGCTCTGGAGGGACGTCCCCCTAGGGACCCCTGCCCTCGAGGGGGGAGTATAGCATATGGCCTCAGAGCTCATCTCAACAAGATCAAGATCCTGTAGGTCCCTTGAAAAAATTGTTGATAGCATGATGAGTGCAGCCCGAATCCCGCGCCATTCGACGATTCAACAGTTTTTGAGACTTCTTTGTGATAATCTGTCCCTTTTCGAGGTCCATTAATGAACTTCCACTTGCCATAGCCTAGAAAAGGCAAGAAGTCATAATGATGAGAAGTTTCACCGAACAAAAATGAGATGCAGCCGGAAAATATGCGGTGGAACTATACTTTTGCTGCGTTGTCAGAACGACCATTTTTGAAAAAATTGACGAAAAAAATTGTTTTCAAGCTAGAGTTTGGTGTTGGCATGCGAATTGGTATTGGTAATTACCACATTTTCTGTATGGGGGCATTTTTGAAAACGTCGTGTAAGACGGGATTTTGTGAGATTCATGGAATATGGGTGGAACTATGATTATGCTTCGCAGTGTATGAACGCGGTTAGTGAATTGCGATCCATAATTTCCTAATAATTCTGAACCAAATGAATTGAAAACTCCTAGGGAGAGAGTACGAGTTGTCAAATAGCCACTAGAATTGAACAAGCAATCGATTATCCTTCAAAACCTGACAGCATTTGGGTGTCTAGGAAACCTCCTCAATGACCCGTAAGAGCAACCAACTTGGGGTCAATAAAAAACCAGCGAATTGGGCGGAACTGGATTCTCCGAATATCTTGGGGAGGATGCGCATCCAACTGCTGTCAGCGCCTCATTCTACAAGCATGATGCCTTATCGACAAAAAAAAACAGGGCAGAAACGACGACACGAAAGAAATAAAGATGATGAGGTGATTACTCAGCACCATATCATGATAGGAAAGTTTAGTGGTACAATGGTGAGGGCTAGAAAAGGACAGCACCATACTCAAACCAAATAAGAACTTGCAGCTGAGAAACTTTGCGGAGATGAAGCAACGGACCTGTGTTCGCAGTTGATTTAGTTTCGGCTCTTGTGCAAGATTCCATTCAGCAAGAGATTTGTTCTGCGCAAGACCTGCTTCGCGTTCAGTTGGGAGAGATCGAATCTTTAAAATCACCCTTACACGATATTAATTAGTAAACAAATAATTCCATGACTGGTTCTTTAACCATTGACACAAATACACTCAAACGGAACGCCACAGGCGCGGCGCCAAAGTATCTCTGAACTACCAAATTTGCTGAAAACTCATCCTTGATGGTAATTAGACCTTCTAAACAAGAATATCGCTTCCGATTAGTTTGAAACTGCCTAGCTTGCGCCATAGGCGTGAGCTCAAAATACCCTGAGTACCAAATCCACAGAGAACTCATTTCCAGGGGCAGTTTTCCCTTCAAAAGAATGGCACATCCATCCAAGATATTGATCCACCTGTCCTCTGTTGGCTGTGCCTTAGCAGGGAGAAAGACCACTATCGCATGGGATCAGAAAGGGGTCTGCCTCACTTCTCTGAGTGCTCTAGCACACGTTTAGCATGAAACAGCCAGAAGTCCGCGCCACACGCGCCATGGTCAAAACCAGCTTGTGGTGGTCTCCTATGGTGGGCGGTAAATCAGGCGGTTAGCGATTCCGTGTCAAATGAATGTCGTATCCTTGATCAAAGCACCGAATAACCGCAGTGTGAAAAGTATTCCGGAATGGTGGCGCAACAAGGTGCCAACCAGGGCCAGCGCTAATAATTGTACCCTTGTGGGCAAAGTTCTAGCAAAGGCAATCTTTGGGGTAGTAACAGTTGAATAATACCAGTCAATTGGCTGAAAACGTACCTGCGGAAGGCTGTCAATCAGTGCGTCGAAACGTGTCTCATTATAAAGAAGATCATTAAGCTGATCCACTGTCATTGTTCGTAAGTTGACCATCGCCGAGTTAACACAGACATCGGCAAGTGATTCATAGGCGCTCTGGCTATTATACATTTCTAATCAAACAGCGACTTCGCAGAGGACCTGAATCAAGGGTTATAGAGTCTCATCGGGCAAGAGATACTACCATTTTGAATAATAAAACAAATGATATCTGTCGGACAGGAGTAGGCATCTTCATGACTCTAACTTACTGATGGTGATTTATTGCGAACTACTGCTTTCTACAATCCTACATATGACTAACTTACTAATGGTGATTTACTGCGAACTACTGCTTTCTACAATCCTACATGGCTAACTAAAAAGGAGCATAAGGCCGCGTTCACAGCTTGCGTTCGTGAAGAAATGCAGAAGTGCGGAATCTGCAGAAAAGCAATAGATACTTATCGACTTGAAGAAATGCAGAAATGCCGAAACTGCAGAAGTGCGGAAAGTGCAGAAATGACGAAAAGCATTACATACGTATCGATTTGAAGAAATGCAGAAATGCCGAAAGTGAAGAAGTGCGGAATCTGCAGAAATGCCGAAAGTGAAGAAGTGCGGAATCTGCAGAAATGCCGAAAGTGAAGAAGTGCGGAAAGTGCAGAAATGCGGAATCTGCAGAAAAGCAATAGATACTTATCGACTTGAAGAAATGCAGAAATGCCGAAAGTGTGGAAAATCGATACGTATCGGTTGCTTTTCTGCACATTCCGCACTTTCGGCATTTCTGCAGATTCCGCACTTCTGCATTTTCCGCATTTCTGCATTTCTTCACGAACGCAAGCTATGAACGCGGCCTAAGAAAGAACAGTATGGCATCCGGGTGTATGTCGTTCGGCGCGGCCGGATTGCCATTGGGGCGCAGCGGCCGTAATTGCCACCCGCCACTCCGCTGATGCGGCGCGTTCGTGGACGGAGAACTCGTCCAAGGCATTCCGCCCCTCGTTTGACATAATTGACCGGCCCACGTTGGCAAGATGCCAGCGTGGACGCCGAATTGCGGACAAACGCGTAACTCACCATCTTCGCGGTCTACGGGCTTTTGTCAACCGCGGCAATGGGTGACTCAGCAATTTGTCGCGTCGTCGGTCGTCTCGCACACTCTCGTCGACGCTGCGTCTCCGCTTAGAAAGGCTAGAGCGTAGACAGAAAGGCATCCACCGATCCCGATTGCCGACGATCACCAGTTCACGTGATTGTTGCGTGCTTTGCTCGTGTTAGGTCACTCTCCGATGCTAATCATTCGTTAAAAAAATAGGAAATCAAGAAGATCTTAACTATAAGAAGGAACACATTCCTTCTCGCTTCTTACTTCAAGTATTATTCTTGAAGTGGAATTGGTGTTTGTTGGAAAACAATTGTGGGAATCACCATGCGATTCATCTTTAACCGTTTACAGATCCAAAAGCAACGGGAATGCAGCGCATTTGTTCTCTCGTTCAGAAGCTGGGAGGGAATGAAAGGGGGTGGTGATCTATTGACCAAGAGTTTTGTTCTGCCATGCGATTCATCTTTAACCGTTTACAGATCCAAAAGCAACGGGAATGCAGCGCATTTGTTCTCTCGTTCAGAAGCTGGGAGGGAATGAAAGGGGGTGGTGATCTATTGACCAAGAGTTTTGTTCTGCCATGCGATTCATCACACTGCATTTATCAGAGAACTTTTATAACCAGTATAAGTTGCGGCACAGTAGTGCGGATATATGATTCA